TGCCCCCCCCCCCCCCCACCTTTTCTCTTCTTCTGTGCGGCCGCCGCCTCTCCGGCCGACTTGGCGCCGCCTCTCCGACTCGGCGTCTCGAGGCTGTAGCCGGCCGGTGCCGTCTCTCCCCGCTTGTGATGGCGGTGCGGACAGTGTGGTGGGTGTGTGCTCTCGCGCGGGCGAGAGTGGCGGGCGTCCGGGCGAGAGTGGCATGATGTCGTGACGTGTGATCGCGTGTCCCGCGCGTCCTTGCGCTCGGAGGATGAGAGAGACGTGACGAGACGCGCCGCCCGCCGTTTTTTCTTTGGTGGGGGGGGGGGGGGGGGGTTGACCGCGGAGAGGCGTGACAAAGAGTGTACATTTTTTACACGACGCGCGCGCGCTGGGCCAGAGGGGGCCTCGTGAGGCGCGGGCGTGCCTCTGTGTCTCAGCTCCGTGGCATTGCTCGTCACGCCACTTGTCTCGCCGCTAGCGTGACACTACTGAGAAAAACGCCTGGCTTGCAGAGACTTCTGCAGATGCACAAACATGCGCATGTGCATGTAGCTACTGTCGCCAGAAGCCTTTGATCTTGTTGATCAGCGCCTCGAGCGAGGCCGCGTCGGGTGGCGTCCAAGGCACGTTGTGCCCGCGGCCGCCGCCCGCCGCCACCCACCACGCCACTGCCGGGTCGTCGGGCTCCGTGGCTGCGAGATCTCGCAGCCTCTTCCGCGTCTTCGAGCACCCGCCGCTTGAGTCGATCTGCCGCTCGAAGAATCGGGCGGCGGGCTCGCGCTCGTCCATCAAGCGAATGACCTCGTCGATGCTTTGCGGCAGTTCTGCCGAGGCCCCGGTCGAGGGCGGGGCGGCGGCGGCGGCGGCGGCCTCGACGTGCTGCCGCGCGCTGGCAAAGAGCTCTTGCTGCATGCGGAGCAGCTCCTCCTCGCTCAGCCCGTCGAGCGGCACCGCCCGCCTCGCCTTCTTCTTCCGCCGCCTCTTCTCGCCCTCGGGCGAGCTACGGCTGCAGCCGGCCTCGGCGGCGACAGTGGTCTCGGAAGTAGAGGCTCCTACAGCGACCGCGGCATCGGCGGCGGCCTCGGCGGCGGGCTCGGCAGCGGCGGCCGCGGCGGCGGCAGCTGCGTGCTCTTCACGCAGCGCGTCGGCGAAGGGCGCGAGAGCCTCGAGCAGAAGCGCGCCGTACTTCTCCACCTTGACCTCCCCCATCCCGTGGCACTGCCGCAGCTCTTTGGGCGAGGAGGGCACTCGCTTGCACATGTCGACCATCGTCCGATTGTTGCAGACGACAAACATCGACCGCTGGATCGAGCGGGCCTTGGCGTTGCGAATCTCGCGGAGCGCGGAGTACACACGCCTCTCGAGCGGAGTGAGCCGCAGCCCCTCTTCTCGCTCGACAGGAAGGGCGTCCGGATCCTCCTCCTCCTCGGACGCAGACGCCGCGGCGGCGTCGCGGCCGCCAAGAACCAGAGGCCTCCTCTGCGCCTTGCGCCGTCGCCTACCCTCGTCCTCGTCGGGGTCGTGCTCGATGTAGACGTTTGGCGCCGGCATGTCCTTCAGCCTCGATGAGCGGCGTGACGGCCCCGCCGCCGGACTCGCCTTGCGCTTGCCTTTTGCAGACGGCGCCGGCGGCGCCGCCGGCACCATCCCGTCGGCCAACCCGAGTCGGGCCAAATGCTCGTGGTTGCGGCGGATGTTCTCGAGCCGCTCCAGCTCGTAGGCGGAGAGAGACATCTCGGGCCAAACTCACGCGGGCGTTGCTCAGAGGAGGCCAAGTTTGGGGACGCGACAGCGAGGAGTAACGCGGGAAATGTGCCGCAAATGCGCGCCAACAGGGTTCGGCTCCTCGGGTTGGGTAGGGATCCTTGTGGGGCGGCCTGAGCCCTGGCTGTCAGGC